CAAAGTTGATATCTCCCAAATTTTATACATGTACATATATAATTATAAAGACCGATTCTAACCATTTATAAATCTCCACTCAGTGACTATTGACAAATGGCAATAGCAATGATAACCTGATTTTGAAAAGGGGTAAAGTTTTCAGATGCCTCATAACAATAGGAAGAATAATAATCATAATTATTGATTATTTATAAGAACAATGGAAAGTATTAATATCACAACATTAAAAAATGAACTCTTATTTATAAGATACAAGATTGTTTTTTTTCACATTTACTACAAAATTCAGTTTACTATGGACAAATATTCAAATTGGTTTTCAGAAATGAAATGGTTTCAATCAGCTAACCCGAGGGTTGTGAATTCACTCCTCTGAGGCAAGACTTAATATGGAAATGTACAGGGAATTAAAGAAGGCACAAAGACATTTCTGTTTTTAAACAATTACTTTTGTTGGACCCAGCAAGCCTTGAGATGTTAAACTTTTTAGGATCACTTCGGGTTGTTACGACTTGAGAATTACAATAGAAAACACAAAGAAACTATGAATCATCAAAATCATAGGAGTGATAGGAGTCTCCTCCTATCACTTCCTGCAGGTGTTCCTAGAGCTGTGGAAGCTGGATCTGTGGTTGGGAGTTTCCTGCTGCTCCGTGTTCCTGCTCTGCTACTACTCTGCATAGTGTTATTTCTGTCATAACTCCTATCATTATCATTAGTATCAATATACATAAAATTGAATTGAATTGAACTTTCTTTGTAGCACCGTTTGTGCTACCGGACTTCAATTGCGACACAATCTTTTCCACGTACATCCTTGAGGATGGATTTGTCCATTTTCACTTCAGCTGCTTTAACCAAACTCCCTAGCAAAGAGAGAGTTAAAGTTAAATCATAAACCAGCTGCCAACAAATAATATCAAATACATTTTCTCTCTTTTACCAGACTGAACTGGTAGTTGGGTGACAAATTTAAAATCTAACCATTATTTGACAAATCAATAAATTGCCTATCATCACTTCAAGTTCATAATAATGCCTTTTATTATTATTGAGGCCCTACACATAGCCTTCATACACCTACTTCATAATGGAGGCTAGGGCTGGCAACAATTACACATGCATTTTTTTTTAATCAACAAATGTATTACTTTAGCTTTTGATTATAAGCCACAAGCAAAGATGCTGTCTGCAAATTATCTAATCACCACTATTTATAGTTTCTGCTTGGACCAATTTACCTTTCTTTGTCTTGTGTCCCTCCGCCAACGTGCGGTCAATTCCGTCCATACACTTACGGGCAAATACGACCAGCTTCTTCCACGAACAACTGTTAGTGGCTGTGTCCGTTCTTTTTCTACCGATTATATGTGTGTGATGCATATATAATCCTCATTTTTCTTGCGTTTTTTGTCTGATCAACGGGAACGCGCTGATCCACGGGAGCAGCCATGTTTGTTGTTGTTCTTCTGTTCTCGCCTCTGAATGGGAGAGCGCACCTGAAGGACGCGCTCTGATTGGCTAACGGCTAGGCGGCTTGATTCGAGCGTACTTTACCGGTGTGATCAGGCTACCGATATAGTTACATTTTTAAGTAATTATTGTAAAAATACTGGCGCAAAGCGATTGGAGAACTTTTGGTTATGAGCTCAAAATGCACTAAGGTTTTTTTTGCAGGTGTCATTTAGTAGTCCCTCAATAAGTGGAGCGAAACTTAACGATACAGGCTTCAGCCTATGGCCTAGTTTGTCTATGCAGTCTAATGGAATAGAAAGAGCACATTCATTCAATTTGGACATCTAATCTGTTTAAATATAAAGCTGTTTTTTCATACATATACAAATAAATACATTTGAACTGGGACTGTATTGACCTACTTTTAATGCAAGGTATGGACATCAGGTTTATTGAGTATTGATGGGAAGTTTTACAAAAGTTAGAATGTCAATTTTTCACAACTGTTGAACTCATGTTTAAAAAGCTGGAATTCTTTGCATGGACAGTGACACAGATTTCTTTGTAACATTTCTTTTTTATATATCTCATAGACTAAAAAACAAAACAAAAACAGAAATACAATGTGTTTGCATGTGTGTGTGTGTAGGGAGAATATTCGTCACATTGAGAAGCTGAGATTTGCAGTGAAGATGGAGGCCGTAGAACTGGAGATGCAGTTAAAGGAACAATTTCATCAAGATAATGAAATCCTGAAAATGGTAAGCCACTCAGTGATCAAAATCACATTTTAAATCCCATGTGACCAGTCTGCTAAAGGTTACTGCATTTAAAAAAACCTAGTACCCAAAGTAATATAGATAGGATAATATTCTTATTCATTATGAGCCTATTGGACCAAAAACGCATCTCTGTTTTTCATCGCTCTGTCTGTGATGCCACATTATCTTCAGTCATCACCAGGAAGACACTTAAAACCTTAACTCTATTTGTGGGGAGCAGTGGTGAGATAGAGCTGGCTCAGAATAGTGCTGCCAGGGTCCCAAAGAGGGTGGCTAATGTCAGAAATGGAACTCTGGTGTCACTTAAACCAAGGCGAAAGTGACATGTGGCCGAGCCAAACCTCTCGGAAGTCGATGTGGCGCTTCTTAAAGATGAGCACCTACAGAGAAATGAATGACCTGTTGGAGAGGTGGGAAACACAATTTCAAGCAAAGACTCTAAAGTCCACAGAGTGGACATACAGGTAGTCAGACAGGAAACTCAGAAGGTTTATTCAAGGTCTGTTTCAGAGATTATTTTACTTATGAAAGGAAAATAGTGTCCTAAAGCATAATAGCAGGCGGGGAGTGTCATGTTCTGTGATTAACACAGAGTTGTGTGAGACCCCTAGTCTTCACCATTTGTCACAGTGGTATAGCTTGTACCTGCAGTGTTCCCGTAGGTAGATACTGGCTTCATGAAGAACTAAACAGTCACAGTTTTCTTATTCTTTATTACAGGAAAACATTTGCCTATGAGTGTTTTATGTTCAGTTGGGTATGGCTTGATACTAAGACTTTCTTTAATGTGTACCTCGGCTCAAGAATGAGAGTAAGTTATAGCTTGTTAACCATTATTCTAGCTTATTTTTTATATTTTCTTTCTGTCCGATTCTTTCTTCCTGAATAGAGCATGCTCCAACTGCTGGATGAGCAATCTCAGTTTTGTTCTCAAGTATCACTACCAGGCTCTGTTCCCAAGAGGCCAGTTTAGACTGAGATGTGTCTGCTGGGTCACTGTGGGACGCTGTTGCACGAGGAGCGCATGGAACAGGAATTCCACCACGCAGTCATCAGAGAACATCCCAGCTTTGGTTCTGCCTCCACAGCCACCGACAAGCTAATGGTCTCCTCCAGAGTATGAAACAGATAATCATTTTATATTTAATGATGTTAAACTGTATATACACTCACTAAACTAAACATGATGATTGCTTTTGAAGATGACTATATTATAAAGTGTAATGTCTCAGGTTGCACTGGGTTTTTCACCACTTCCATGTAAATGGTCCATCATTCTGCTAACACTTTAAAGAAGTTCTGAAATGACAAAGCTTTTCAGAAAAGAGGTGAAAGTCTTCAAGATCAAATAGGAAGTCCTGCTCTGTTCATATCTGATTTTTTTTTTAAAGAGAACCAAATATTAATTGTTCGGAACACAGAGATTTAGTCATTGAGCAGAGTTTTAACAACAATTTACAGTTTATTTATTTACAGTGTATGATACCATAGAAACACATGAAGAAATAACATGAACAGACTGATTTAGATAGATGTGTTTGCCAATTTTTTTTTTTTTTTTTTTTTTCAATTTGTAAAATGTATCCGTTTATACCAAAAACACACATCTTCCTGTCTTAGCCTTTTTTAATTATAAAACAATGTTCTGTTTCCCCACACAACTCTGCAGGAACATATGTATTTATCCTGAAAAAGATCCATCCTTATCTATTCATGAGACAATAATTTAACTTTGTCTTGACCACTTTTTAGGTCAGTGAAAGCACACACTTCCATTATCTTTAAGAAAATTATCATTGAGGCAAAATGCTTTCATGATTTATATATTTTTTACACAATTAGCACTGAGATAATAGCTAAGTATATATTTTTTTCAAATAACAAATGATGAAAGCAAAAACATTTGGTGAATGATTTATTGTGCAAAATATGTCAATAAAAAATCATCTCCATATATGTGTGATGTGTTGTTCTTTCTTTATTTCAGATTTCTTTCTTTCTTTCTTTCTTTTTTAAATTTTTATTTTTATTTTTTGGTACAATGCTATCCTCACCAAGACAGTTCTGTTGTGAATGAGTCCCTGAGAACATGATTGTTGGATGGATGGATTGATGGATGGATGAATGGATGGATGGATGAATGGATGGATGGATGAATGGATGGATGGATGGATGGATGGATGGATGGATGGATGGATGGATG